TATGGCTATGGTTTCTAAAGGTTTTCAAGGAGAAAGCAGTACCACCTAGCCAACGAAGAACGCTCGGCGATGTCTTTAAAGGTTTTGGATAAAAATGTAGCACCGGAGGGTCTGGAGTGTGCATGGAATATTGTCTAGAAAGGGTCTCTTATTTTTAAGAGAGCACCCCTCGAGTTATACTTGCCTTTCCATACCTCCCAGACCCCCCGGTACCGATGATACTTTTTGTTATGCTGTAATCTCTAAACGTTTTTAAGAGCAAGTCAGTACCGGGGGGTATGGAACCCCCCAGTCACATAAGGGAATGATCGATGGCTTTCCCTAGAGACTATAATGAAAGTGACGAGAACTCCAAAGTTTTTGGATGAAAAAGTAGCAACGAAGTATAAGGAGCGTGTATGGAAAAAAAGAGAACCATCTAATTCTCTTTGCTTCCCCCCCCCCTCCTTTACAGAGCACACTCTAAATCAGTACTGCAACCAGTCGAAACAAATTGGGCTGCGTTCAATTAGCAAGTTTAGTTCATTCATGTTCTTTATTAACCCCATTTTTGTCTATAATATACGTTCATTTACAAGGGTTAGTTTATCTTGTGTGAGTGTACGAACCCAAATCTCCGATCTGAGTAGACCTGGGGTACGGTGGAAGGTAGGCAACTCAATCTACACCAGATTTACCAAAAAAAGTTGCGGCGTAAACAGCATGTTTTGTCAACGGTTAGAGATTCGGTGGCCTACGTGTCCATTGCGGCGTATGGTTTTAGGCTTTTGCAAACTAGCGAGCGGAACTGATGGGATTTGACACATCAATCAACATCATAGTTTTAAGCGAAGGTAAGCAAGTCGTCGACAATTTTCAAATTGAAATGTAGAGCATTGGGTCTGCTTTTTGAAAGTGAGCAGGCTGATTTAACGGCGCGCGCGGAAACGTTACAATTAGCTGTTTAGTTTAACTATTCCAATTTGGTTAGGCAATGCAGCTGGCTGCCCCATTTATAAATGACACCCCATGCAACTACCGTCCTGATTTGAATTTCAATCGCAAATTTCGAATAATACGAAGTTACGCAATCGCATTCTGGACGATTACTTCTGAAATTCGGGCGGTATCTTCTTGATTAGGCCGCTTTATTCCGAAATTATTGTACCCAGGACAGGCGTGTATAAATACAATAAAGTATTTTGTAAATAATATTATGATATTGCAAGGTAGATGGGAAAACACGGCCGAGTCTGTCTCATTTAAATACGGAAGCTCCGGCATTCGGATCTAGTTCGCTTCATTTTAATACTCCCTCTATGCGGTTATTTTCCATGTGAGAAAATCTGAAAGGATTTACATGTAACTTAGAATTTTATGTGTATAGAGTTTGCTTACACGAACGATTGAATTCCGCGTGATATAAATAGTATGAATCCAATTTATTGTACGAAGATTGTGTTTCATTCCGACTACAAAGTTCCTATCTCTCTCTCTCGCTAGTATTCCAATCGATTCGATTCGAGTAGGGAAAATAATATAGCGGGCATAGATACGTCCTCATCAGTCTGAAAGTATCTACGTTCGGAAAGTTTTGCATTGCCCTGCATGCAAAGTTGTACGAAGGTAGAGTAATTGCATTTCCTTTTAAACTACTGCTACTTTGAAGATATATACTATGACTATCCATTTTGTGACCCAGAAATAAGCTGAGAAGGTGCAACTTTCGATTCGATGTCAGCCTATGGGAAAATGACCATACGTAGCTTACTATTTTAATTGCTACATTTTTGTCCATTGCGCTACCACAACCACTCCTGGACTTGTTAGTAAAGATGGCCGATGAAGCCAATTAACGCCATTTTCTAGGCGGATGTTGTAAAAAATTAAGAAAATACACAGATGGCGCAAGGGGTATCACAACAATTTTTTACGGGTATCAAATTACCTTTTACAGTAACGTTCATTTTCTGATGGCGTAAGAAATGACAAGTAAATATATTACGCCCACAACAAGGCCATGCCAAGGAAACCTTCTACGGGACAAAAACACCGGCATAGACCACACAAAGACATGAAATAAATCATCTACAGCAATAAAATGCAAGAGAAAATACACATAAATAAAAGATCTTAAATTGTATGATAAAAATCAAATAATCAATTAAACAAGTTCATAAAAACAAAATACACAAGACATCACAAACGCAATGGAAAACATGATAAATCAATTCAGTACAAAAACACATCAAAATACCTGTACAATCAATTGAGATAACACAACTCGTCAAATAATAAATTGCATGAACATAGAAAACCTGTAAATGTTGTGGCTCTACTCCAGCCTTCAGTTAACATAAATTAATTTAACACGAAAAGTAGATACATGTGAGAATGCCAATAGCAAGTATTCATGTGAAAATCGATTATCGCTCAAGCAGAACATGCTTTAATAGTGGAAATGTTAATGAGAGGGTCCCTACTCGCCTTGCTAAGAACTGCAATCCGCACGAGACGAGTAGGCGGCGAAAGATCGAACTGTATTAGGTACCTACTCCACGGGAATAGAATGAACCACTCGCACACACAAACATCGAAACATCAAATAAGAGAGACCCCCTTCGTATAGCTAACGCACAATAACTGCAGCGCGCCACGAATCAGATACAGCGAACAATCAAACTATATATATATTAGGTACTTCCCTCACGGAATACTGATAATCAACTGAGATACCTACCCCAACCTTAGCAACGTCCTGTGAATATGATTGTCGATACGAAGCACCCTATACATCATGTTAGTTACACAAGCTGCCAACCGAAATCTGGTGGGATTACAGAAAAGGGAAAGAGAGCGAAGATGAGACGGATGGAATTTCTTGGAAGACCACATATGTTTACCATTTCAAACACCTGCAGTCCAGTTTTTTCCTAGAAATGCGTGAAATGCAGGGAATGGGCGATTTTCGGGTGGTTTTTAGGGGTATTAGCAGATCAAATTACAGCGTGGCTTGGGGTGGTCAATAAATAGGATTTAACATGTGTGTTCATGGTCTTTGTCTTGTAACCGGCTGAAGTGTAAAGTACGGCTTGTCTTGAAATATTTTGTTATACCTTAATCATTGCTGTGTGCTTTTGCTTTTTTATATCAGGTGAGGTATTTGCTTTATTCAATTAATCTATAAATGTGTGTAACTTGAATGCAGATTGTAACCCTTTACTTATGTACTTACTGAATTCAATCACTTGTACCTTTAATGTGTAACCTTTGTTGGTATTGGCAATCATGTTTCATTGTCGGTAGGGCTGTATCTGTGCTGTACATACTTGCATGTGTACATATTTAATTTGTGTATTGTGCTTTTTAGTCACTCTCGATTATTTCATTGCATTTCATTATATTTGCTTATTTGGGACTGTGAGTAATCAAGAGGAAGTGTGCTTGTTTAGAGGGGATCGAGCTATTCAAGTTTATACGGCCTTGGTGAACCTAACACTAACATTTTCACTCGTTCCGAACCCAACAACTTTAGCCCACGTCTACAGGCACTCCACTGGGCCTGGGTACTCCTCCCGCCCGGCGAGGTATATTTGACATCTCTTAGTTTTGTCCGATGTATGTGTTGTAATACCTGGGGAATGGCTCGATCCCATTTTGGTTACTCATAGCGTGTTTGTAGTAGTTACCCCGGTTTCGAGAGGGCTCAAAAGTGCTGTACATTGGATGTTGTTCATTATAGGACTACTCCAAATTAGGTTTTCCTGCAGTTTTCCTAATTCGTAAGGTAAATGCCGGAGTAGTATAGAACCACTTAAGACCCTCTGCAGGGGCACCGTTTTGGTATTAGCTGCAATATAAACTTAATCAACTATTGCTTTTGGTGTCCCTTACCCATAAAACGCCCTCAGTGCCTGCTGAGAACCCAGTTATTACACAACGTAGGTGTCCTACATGACGATCACGATCTTAGTGCACTCGGAGTGGCCCCCGAGTGACAGATTCTCGCGGGAAACTTAAGGGTGTATTCCACTTAAATTTTAATTCTATTTGACGTATGATGGGTTGCATAATATTTACTTGTAATGAAATGGTAACGAATAACCAAAGACTCAAGAATTTACCTGCCCAACCATTGTATAAAGTAAACAAGTAATTACGCTAATTTACCCAGGTCATTAGTCATTGTGACGAATATGCATATATAATTAAACATCGATTAGAAAACGCAAATCATTGTCACAACGGCTAATCCTCAATAAATTCACTTTTCCCAGTTTTTAATAAGACGCATATATTTTTTTTAACCCAGTAATTACTCCATGAATTGTATTGACCCTATCTGGAAAATAACGCATGTAAGCGAATAAGTACCTATAAATTAGATATCTTTAAAAAAATGTACATTTTTTTACTAATATTCTAGATGTGTTACAAAAAATCGTCTAATTCGGGAACAACACAAAATAAATGAGAACTAACGCTTTTTACGCAAATTATAACTCTTTCCGAAGGATGCTACAGGGAAATAATCTCAAATTTGTATCACACTGAAATTTTAGGGGTGTTTCAAAATTTCGTCTAATTCGGGAACAACACAAAATAAATGAGAACTAACGCTTTTTACGCAAATTATATCTCTTTCCGAAGGATGCTACATGGGAATAATCTCAAAATTTTATCACACTAAAAAACAAAGCTGATGCCGCTGACGCAACCCAAGAAGCTGAAAAAGATGACACCGAAGCGTCATAATGATTCGAGAGAGCGAAATATGAAGTTGAGTGGACCTTGCCTCAGAACTAATTGCAATTCTTACAGTCCCACTTAGAATGGCCCAACTCGCCACATTTGTAACAATTTGAGACAAACTTCTTTGACTTATCCCTTCGCCTACTACTATAATTTATGGGCATATTTTTACTGACAGCTTTCAGGAGCTTTTATCAATCAACCGCTGCTCAACAACACATAACCTCTCGCTAAGATTACCCAACGTTCGATTTTTCTTTGGTACCGACTCCCGAGCATTAATATTGGGCAGGCATCGCGTTCAAAACCCGATTCAGGAACAGTGAATTGTCCTCCTTCCAAGTCTCGTCTTGAATTCCTGCCCGAATTTAGCAATCAAATCCCCAAGTTCCTTTTCTCTTATACTAAAAAACTGCTTGAACAGGCGATCTTGCTTATTCTACGGAATGGAAACAAAAAGAACTATTTATCAGCAAATTGAATTTATTATTATTCGAAAAAATAATCAAAATTGTCTCGACTCCTGACTCAGGATTCCCCTAGGTCGAAGTTCGTATTTGTGGTAGATGAAGTTACAGGAACGGATGACGGTCCGAAACATGTAGTTAGTTCGGCCCAGATTGGAGAGATTCTCTTACTGGACCTATACGAGTCCTGCCTTCCTTATGTCAAGGTGCGTCTTTGTCGATAATTTATTAATTACTCCCGAGATAAAAGTTCATTACCTTCGGTACGACTCACGTAATGCACATATAAAATAGCCTTTATAATTGTGTCTGTCTATTGGGGTGTACATATTATAATTTTCAAGTTGCTAGTCGTACGGGGGTAAATGCTAAAACTAAAACTTTCATAATAAGCAATGTTACACCACTGTTTATTGTTTTGCGCCAATTTGTAACGTCCCCCTCGGACTTCCCCGAGTTATGAAATGACCAAAAACGTTTTTAAACTCCTACAAGTGATTTCTTATGCTACGTAAAAACATCAGAGACCCTCAGTTACCTATGTGTCGTTTAAAGAAAGCTTTACTATTTGTCTTGTAATAACAATTACCACTGTAGTGCATGAAGTTCATATGTTAAAATGTGACGTTAAAACAGTTGCTTATTCTGAGTTCCATAATCACAATGAGCACATTTGAAATCTTTAGAATCGGTGTCTTAAAATGTGTCGTTTAAGATATCGTTTGTGATTTGTTCTATACTTACAATGAGCACATTTAAAATCTTTAGAATCGGCATGTATCAAAAGGTGATCTTGAAAGTGGTACTTGTTACTTGTCTCGTAAACACAATGAGCACACTTAAAATCTTTAGAAACAGTATGTTTTAAAAGGTGTCTTTTAAAGTAGTATTTGTTACTTGTTTTGTAATCACAATTAACACATTTAAACTCATTCGGATCCATGTGTTGTAAAAGGTGTTGTTTATAGTAGGATTTAACATTGGTCTTGTAATTACAATTAGCACATTTAAACCCTATAGGATCGGTATGTTTTAAAAGGTGTCGTTTATAGTAGGCGTTAACATTTGTTTTGTAATCACAATTAGCACATTTAAAAATTGTAGAATCGGTATGTGTTACAAGGTGATCTTTAAAGTGATATTTGTTACTTGTCTCGTAATCACAATGAGCACATTTAAACTCTTTAAATTTGGTATGTTTTAAAATGTGTCGTTTAAAGCAGTATTTATCGTACGTCTTGTAATCACAATTAACACATTTAAAATCTTTAGGGATGGTATGTTTTATAATGTGTCGTTTATAGTAGGATTTTACATTTGTCTTGTAATCACAATTAGCACATTTAAACTTTTTAGAATCGATGTGGTTTAAAAGATGTCGTTTAAAGCAGTATTTATCGAACGTCTGGTAATCACAATGAGCACATTTAAAATGTTTAGAATCGATATGTTTTAAAAGGTGTCGTGTAAGACATTGTTTATTATTTGTTCCATAATCGCAATGAACACATTTAAAAACTTTACGATCTCTATGTTTTAATACGTGTTTTTCAAAGTAATATTTGTTACGTGTCTTGTAATCACAATTAACGCATTGGAGCACATTACGTTTGTGTACTAAAATGTGCCGTTGAAACAGTTGTTTATTCTTTGTTCCATAATCACAATGAGCACATTTGAAATCTTTAGAATCGATATGTTTTAAAATGTGTCCTTTAAGATATCGTTTATGGTTTGTGCTATAATCACAAAGAGCACAGTTAAAGACTTCCGAAACCTTACGCTTTAAAAGATGCTTAACTTGCAGCTTACCCTTTGTTGTGTGGTGATGGGAGTCGCATTCAAAATCATTGGAAATTTGAGTTTCAGTTTTCCATCCAAGATCTTCATTATCACACGATTTGGAGCACTGTGCAGTGATGGTAATTTCGTCCTTTATTGTAACCAATGCTTCGTTGCTTACTAAAATGTTTTCTTGGAGATCGGAATCGAATTCTTCTTCTTGTCTTGGTTCGATTTTAACGGCTGCTAGGACATCATTTCCGTCCATATCTACCATCAATAACTTTATCCAGAAATGTGTTAACAATTATGTTTTTGTTTATCTATAACACAGTTTGGTATTAAACAATACAAATGTTTTTAAGTTTATGAAAAGTGCCGACCTATACAGTTTTGGCGGTAGCTCAAGTACCGGCAAGGGTAAGTTAGGCTACGTTTTAACTGGAATACCTCTAAAGGTGGGTTCATAGTTTTCCGTAGATGGACGACGTACCATTTAAAAATTTACTGCCTTCCGATTGGCTAACGGAAACGTATGAACGGAGAGCTTTGAAACCACCTTTATTACTCAAATGTATAAAACACATAAAATACGTATATTTTGTTCTTCATTCTAATATACTTAGTTTGTGAAAGATACGAAACATAAGCTACACCCATAGTATTATTCCTGCGTTGATTTACCATGATTTTGATGCTTGTTATTTATTATTGCTAATTGATCTATTGTTTATTACTTATACATTGTTGGTCTTGAATTCCACATACTTCTCTTATCAATTTTGTCAATCTTGGAACAAGAGATAAAATAGATATCATAGTGCTCTTATGGTATGTTAGATCCCGTCCCATCCCATCCACAGGGCTGCTGTCTAATCATCATACCTAATTGTAAGAACTGTATGTGTTTGTAGTTTCATACTCACAATGAGGACATGTAAAATTATTAAAAACTAATTATGTTTTAAAAGGTGTCTATTAAAGCAGTATTTGTCATTTGTCTTGTAATCACAATTAACACATTTAAACATTTTAGAATCGGTGTGTGTTAAAAGGTGTCGTTTAAAGCAGTACTTATCGTTTGTCTCGTAATCACACTTACCACATTTAAACTGTTTCGTATCCTTATGTTTTAAAAGGTGTTGTTTAAAGCAGTATTTATTATTTGTCTCGTAATCACAATTACCACATTTGAAATCTTTAGAATCGGTGTGTGTTAAAAGGTGTCGTTTAAAGTAATGTTTGTTATCAGTCTTATAATCACAATTAGCACATTTAAAATCTTTACAGTTGGTATGTTTTAAAAGATGTCGTTTAAAGTAATTTTTATTATTTGTCTTGTAATCACAATTAGCACATTTAACATATTTAGAGTCCGTATGGGTTAAAAGGTGTCGTTTAAAGCAGTATTTATCATTTGTCTTGTAATGACAATTAGCACATTTAAAATCTTTTGAGTCAGTATGATTTAAAAGGTGTTGTTTAAAACAGTAGCTGTTATTTGTCTCGTAATGGCAAATATCACATTTCAGATTCTTAGATTTGTTATGTGTTAAAAGGTGTCGTTTAAAGTAATTGTTGTTATTTGTTGCATAATCACAATGAGCGCATTGTAGCACATTACATTGGTGTGTTAAAATGTGCAGTTGAAACAGTTGTTTATTCTCAGATCCATAATCACAATGAGCACAATTAAAGCCTGAAACATAATGCATTAAAAAATAATGTTTGACTTCTAACTTACTGTTTGTTGTGTGTGGACCGAAGTCACATTCACAACGGTTGGCAATTTGAGTTTTAATATCCCATCCACAATCAGTTTGTTGTACTTCTTCAGTATCGAGCGATTTGGGGCACTGTGCAGTAATGGCAATTTCATTCTTTATGGTAACCAATACTTCTGTGCTTACTAAAATCTCTTCCTCTGGTTCGATTTTAATGAGTGGTAGAACATCATTTCCGTCCATATCTAGCATCAATTACTTTATCAACAAATGTGTTGCAATAACGTTTTTGTTTATAAAAAATCCAGTTTAAAAACAATACTCACAGTCTATTTATAGCTCTAGCTGCAACATAGGCAGGATTTTGTTCTGGCTGTAGCTCAAGCACCGGAATAGTTACCGTTTCACTCCAGTGGCGTATCGATGGGTTTTGTTCAAGGACATTAATTTAACGTCCTTGGTTTTGTTTTACGCTGTATCCCCAATTAGATTAAGAATGTAAAGGTGAACGCCTCTGAACCTGGTCCGTAAGGTTGCGGGATCCCATCCGGCAATGAATCACTTGTTTTTCAAGCGAACCGGAATCTTTGTGAGGTATTTTGCCTGTCATAAGCTTAATCCTCTAATCTTCTATGGTGCTGGTCCGAATTTTACTCATTTCCAGAATATCTTTAATAATTTATCAACCATCAGTCATTTGATTAAAATGTATATTAAATTTAAATATAAAATAGTAACAAAATAACAACAAATAAGTCAGTTTTTTTCATTTAATTAGATCTGGCGTGAACTGACGCTCGCAATATATTTTACAATAAAAACAGCCAAAGGTTGGAGATGAAAATTACAAACGTATTAAGTACTATGCATATTCTTAAATGTTATTTACGTAAATTAGGACACAAAGACCTCTCTCATAAAGCCACACACCCAAGAATGAATAATTAAGTTACCAAGCATTGTGTTCCTTGTAAAAACGGTTTGTGTGCCTTACAAGGTGTTTTTTAAGACAGCATTTGATATGTGTCTCATAATCGCAATGAGCACATTTAAAATCTTTAGATACTTTATGTTTTAAAACGTGATTTTTAAAGTAGCGTTTGTTATTTGTCTCATAATTACAATTAGTGCATTTGAGCGCATGTACATTACTAGAAAGTTTGTGCGTTAAAAAGTGCACCTTTAGATATCGTTTAATATTTGTTCTATAATCGCAATGGGCACATTTAAAATCTTTAGAATCGTTATGTGTTAAAAGATGCTGTTTAAAGTAGCATTTGATATTTGTCCCGTAATCACAATAAGCACATTTAAAAGGTTTAGAGTCGATATGTTTTAAAATGTGTCGTTTTAAGCAGTATTTGATGTTTGTCTTGTAATCACAATAAGCACATTTAAAGTCTTTAAAATCGCTGTGTTTTAAAAGGTGTTGTTTAAGACATCGTTGTTTATTTGTTCCATAATCGCAATGGGCACATTTAAAATCTTTAGAAACTTTATGTCTTAAAAGGTGTTCATTAAAGTGGTATTTATCATTCGTTTGGTAACCACAACTAGCACATTTAAATTCTTTAGAATCGATATGTTTTAAAAGGTGTCGTTTAAGATATCGTTTGTTCTTTGTTCCATAATCACAATGAGCACAGTTAAAGCCTTTTGAAACATTTGGCTTTAAAAGATGTTGTTTAATTTGCAGCTTGCTATTTGTTGTGTGTTGACTAAAGTCACATTTAAAATCGTTAGAAATTTGAGTTTTAATCTCGGTCTTAATATCCCATCCACAATCAGTTTGTTGTGCTTCATTATCGAGCCATTTGGAGCACTGTGCAGTAATGATAATTTCGTCCTTTATTGTAATCAAGGCTTCGTTGCTTACTACAATGTTATCTTGAAGATCGGACTGGATTTCTTGTTCTTGTTTTGGTTCTATTTTAACAAGTGGTACGACATCATTTCCGTCCATATCTAGATAATGTTTTCAAGACATTACAGTTACGTTTTTACTTTTCAAAAATGAAGTTTGGTAGGTATCAAGCAATACAAATTTCTTACCGATCCTTTTGGTTCAGTCGTAAACAAAGCTCTGGCTGCACCTCAAGTACCGGTAAGGGTTGGCTTTCATCTACAGCGTACGTTCAACAGACGAAGCGCTTCATGAGCGCTTTCTAAAGGCGCGAATACTTTAGCAAGGTTTCTTGCGCGAGTTGCTGTCTAAAGCCCGCTTGACATGGAGCAATAAAAATTGCAATTGCATGCAAGTTGCAAGAAAAATTGCGAAAGGCATGCGCAGTTCAAAGCCAGCTGATCAATTGCTGCAAGAGACTTGCATGCAATTTTTATAGGACCGGTGCTATTTTTCTTGCATGAATCGTGCAATTCTAGGGATAAATCTAGTTGTTTTTGTGGCACCAACCTAGTAAAATACAGCGGCGGCAACTGTGATGCTGAGAGACGCACTCATTACTTGTTTTTACTAATCTTATTTATTCTTGTAATTTTCATGTTTCTTCAAGCAATCAAAATTTAATTTTCATTTGAGGTTAACAACTTTGTTGACAAATCCATATGTTTCTTCTGTTGGCAGACATGTGGCAATTGAAATAGAATTGCACCATGTCAAATACCATGCAATGCTTATTGCATGCAAGGATTTGACCTTGCAATTTCTTTCTGCAAGTTCTTGCGCGTAGTATTGCTCCATGTCAAGCGGCCTTAAATAATATTACCTTTAGACTATCATACTTCTCATGTGATTTGTCATAATGATAAGTAACAAGCATTTAGATTTGTGTTTACACTACTATTTTTGGTATTATGGCTGTTTTGCACTAATGCGCAAGCTCATGTCTTACCACTACGGTAACTATCGTATAATTTTCGTTAACGTAAGATTTTACGGTTTCGTTTTTACGTTCTTACGGCTACGGAACTATAAATCCGGCTTAAGACAAATCATAAGGAAATAATATGGAAATAATACGTAAATCGTGGAATAGGAATGTTTCTATTTCTGCATGACAAATGACATGACTTATTTTAAATATCCAAGTGATCCCGCCCTTTTATGATTACTTTTTGCATTTTGCTGTTGTACTTATCTGAAAAAGCTGAATACTTGAGTAAACCAGTAAACTTTTGATTATATCATTGATTATAGGTGTGTATAATCAATGATTATAGGTATATTAGTTACTAATGAAAGAATAAATTACATAAACAATAAATCGAGCAATAAATATTTACGAGTATATTGGTATTTGGTTGTTTGGTTGTAGTGGTGTTTTCAGACACACATTGTCAAATAGTGTCTTGATTGGTAATTAACCCTTCAAATGTTTGGGGTAATCTTTCAAATAAGGGTACACTCATCCTTAATGTCGACCAAGGGGACGATTCTGTTTGCTTTGTTAATGCAACGTATAACGGAGAAATTATTTTTAAAATAATTGTTAAACTTTTTTCGTTAAAAATGTACTATGATTTTTGAGGCACTTTAGAAGTTCACCTATTTGTGCTTTACCTTCCTTTTTTTCCAAAAATCGACTGCACCAATATTTCTCGGGAAAACACTTTTTCTTATTAATTTTGGTGCGTAGAATCCAAAACAATTCGTACTTTTTCGATCAGACTTCTCAATCAAAAGTTATAGGCTAGAAACCAATTTCGAAAGAAAATTCAAAGGACTGTAACTTTTGAACTAGTAGCCCAATCTTGGAACTTGGAACATTTTAATTTAGAGAAGTTATATAGGTTTCGTAACTTCTTGTATTAAAGTCATGTGAAAAACCTGTCAAGTGTAAAGTAAAACATTAAAACTCTTACGAAAAATATGTTGGTAGTAAATATCATACCGGGTGATTCATTAGAAGTGAGGACAATTTGAATTTCCCGCAAATCAAGAAAATTATGATGTTGGTACTAACTGATGATCATTTATTTAATTGCAGTGGTGTATCATCATGCTTTCAGTAAATCGTTTACTTATTAATAATCTACAAATACTGCTTCTGTTTTACCACAAATTATAAACTAACACTAGACACAGTCACATTTCTTACATATTTTAGTGCATCAACTCTAAAAATTGTTCAAAATGGAAAAAGTAATAAACCGCAAATGGCACACAACAATTAACGGCGACACTGGTTTCTTAAATGACAGTCATGACAGAAAAAAATTACTAAATTACTAACGAAATTCAAACCGTCAATCTAACAATGCAAAAAATACTAAAACCTTACGTGCGAAATTCAAGCGTTCATCACTTCTAATGAATCACCCGGTATAACATATCATATAAAAAATCATGTGAGATATATTATAGTGTAAAGGTACCTTACAAGGTTGATCCGCCAGTTTCAAATGGCGCGGTTAAAACGTGCAGATTTCTTTGCAAGCGCGCGCCAGATTTAACCAGGACAGAATTGTCTGTCAGTGACCCATCAAGCATAAGTTCAATCCGGCGGATCAACCTGTGTATGTATTAAGGCCGCTTGACATGGAGCAATACAACGCGCAAGAACTTGCAGAAAGAAATTGCAAGGTCAAATCCTTGCATGCAATAAGCATTGCATGGTATTTGACATGGTGCAATTCTATTTCAATTGCCACATGTCTGCCAACAGAAGAAACATATGGATTTGTCAACAAAGTAGTTAACCTCAAATGAAAATTAAATTTTGATTGCTTGAAGAAACATAAAAATTACAAAAATAAATAAGATTAATAAAAACAAGTAATGAGTGCGTCTCTCAGCATCATAGTTGCCGCCGCTGTATTTTACTAGGTTGGTGACACAAAAACAACTAGATTTATCCCTAGAATTGCACGATTCATGCAAGAAAAATAGCACCGGTCCTATAAAAATTGCATGCAAGTCTCTTGCAGCAATTGATCAGCTGGCTTTGAACTGCGCATGCCTTTCGCAATTTTTCTTGCAACTTGCATGCAATTGCAATTTTTATTGCTCCATGTCAAGCGGGCTTTACTCAACGCCATAATGGAATGCGCCCGCTATCAAAGTTTGGCCGGTTCTGTCACCACAACTTTTGGATGTATTAGAATTATTTGAGGTTATGCTACTCGTATTTTGGAAACTTCAGTCCAACGAGATAGAAAATAGTATTTCGTTGCTTCAGCCCTAATGACCAACAAGCAAGACGTCAAATATTCCGATTTCAATCAAATTTGTCGAATATGCCTTGTAAAATGTGCGGAATTAACGTCGATATTTCAGTCTGCAATGTACGAAACGATGATCTCCCTCACCTCGCTTCAGGTTGCGGCACGATACTCAAAACCAAGTCCACTGACCGCACCTTTTGCAGATTCGAGAAAACGACGGTCTTCCACAATCGATATGTGCGAAGTGCGCGGGCCAGCTTCTCGGTATATTCTCGTTCAGGAGACGTTGCGAGGAGAGCGACTATGTCCTGAGGTCCATTAGCGAGGCGTTCGCGGTGGGAGTCCGCGAAACGCCAGATAATTGTGTCAAGGTTGGTGGACACGTTTGCACAGTGTGCACGAAGGAGTTTAAGAGCGCAAACGTGCTTAAACGACACGTCCGACTGCATAGGTATGGCGTAATGTCGGTCGACTGAAGACCCTTACTGTCGAATTTTAGTGTGGAAAAGAAGCACGTCTGCTCGACTTGCGGTAAGCGATTTTACAGCGCAACCGATCTAACAATCCACACTCGAACTCACACCGGCGAAAAGCCACTACAATGTAAAGTTTGCCTGAAGGCGTTCTCGGACCCGCGCGGATTGAATAGTCACATGAAGACTCACACGGGTAACGAGTCGACTTGGTCGATGTCAGCTGACGGATCGTTTCCAGGTGCCCGGCCGTACAAATGCGATGTTTGCGGCAAACAGTTTGCGCATTCTTTCGTGCTCAAGACCCACACGAGGATTCATACAGCCGAACGGCCCTACGTGTGTTCGATGTGCGGCAAGACGTTTGTGTACGCCCACAATTTGGCGATTCACACGCGAACGCATACGGGTGAAAGGCCGTACGCGTGCGTCGAGTGTTCGAAAACATTCAGTTCGAGCTCCACCTTGTCGGCCCATATGATCGTTCATACCGGAGAGAAAAGGTACCGATCAGTTCTCGGCGATCTCTAGAGCTTTTCTTGCAGATTTATCTGCAGCGTTTGCGGGAAGAAGGTGGCACGCTCCGGCGACCTCGCAATTCACATGCGCAGCCACACCGGAGAAAAGCCCTACAAGTGCGGCCTGTGCAGCAAGCGTTACCGAATGTCGTGCCACTTAAGGGCGCACATGAAATCGCACACAGGTGAACGCGTTTCGTTTCCAAATCCCCCAACCGAAGTCTTTCCTTGCAGGCGAAAGGGATCACGTTTGCGAGGTATGCGGAAAGGCGTTCGCCGATTCCAGAGTCCTACGCTCGCACATGACCACGCATACCGGTGAAAAACTGCACGTTTGCGACGTATGCGGGCGCAGCTTCGGGCATTACAGTACGCTGTCGAGTCACCGTAAAGTGCATCGGACGAAGGAGCTCCTCTCTCCCCAGCCTGACGAATATAAATTAATAATTGACGAAACAAAGTTGGAGTATTAATTGTATAATTACAACAATTACAAAGTTTCTTATTAGTGCACCCGTTTCTGCCGTACGAACGCCGCCTAGGAGTAGATCATTTGTCTCGGAAGGTGATTGTTAGCGATTGGTCCGACTACGTATCCCACTAATCCAAGCACGACGGTCCAATTGAAGAGGCCGATTACTGTAAATATGATCAAGAAGACGATGTCTAAAGTACAAGGTTACGGAAAGTCTACGAAATGAATCATGTGATTTAAGTTAAGGATACGTATCATCACTCGCTCCCATTTCTCAACCATGTATAATTCGGTTATTAGTAGATAGCGAAAGTACCAGTAATTTATGAATTTCCATATTTCCTGAAACATTTTAGTGGAAAAGTGAGATTATTTAATTGTGGAATGTAGGGTTAATTGTACGACTGGATTTTAAATGACAGTTGAGCGTGCTGCCAACTGTAAAATGTATTCCCCCAAATAAAGTTTATACAGAGGGCGTATTAAATACTGACTTGTTCATTTGTCATATAAGTGACAGCACTTGATTACGGTGGCTGACTGCTCAGCCATTTTGGAGCAGCTGACAATGCAAAACTGTGCACAAAAAAGTGTTTAATAAGGTGTAAGGTCTTATCTTTATGCAATAATAAACGTTGAAATAATCATTGGTTTTTCCTTGAATAATAACAATACATATGGATATGTCAGTGCCTTCCAACATGGCGGACGAGTCGGCTAGATATCCTAGCTATAATCACTGTTGTGGCATAGGTATCAAGATATTTGTAATTAGATACAAGGACAAATGAATGATATGGAGAGATGAATTCCGTCCGTCTACCCTTACACCAGGCTTAGGCTGTACCGAAACCGCCATCCCGCGAGAATAGAGGCAAGGGAACCCACTGTCAACCAACCGCACTCCTAAAAATTAGCGGGGAGACTCTTTAGATTGAAAGTTGTAATGATCTTGGCCTCCTATCTTGGCGGGCTAACGCCAATTTCAAGTCGCCCCGAAATATTTATTTGACCATAGGTATTCTGTAGTAGCGGGACGCCAAACTTAACATAGCTGCCTATTTAAATATTCTCGCTCAAGTTTCCCGCGAGAATTTGTCACTCGGTGCCTCGGTGGTGTACGTAGTTATAACTGGGTTCTAAGCAGGAGCTGAAGATATTAATGGGTAAGGAACACCAAAAGCAATACCTGATTCAAATTATATTGAAGCTAATATCAATTTGGATGAGGCCGAAGCCTATTAAAGCCAAATGGCACGATCCCCTAGGACTCGTGAGAGAAGATCGTACCCAAGAAACTATCCGTCGCAGTCTCCAAGAACGTACATGTCAAAGTCTAGAGCTACCACCTAATGTACAGCACTTTTGGGCCCTCCCGGGAGTAAAACTCTTTAGCACAAACAGGGGTAAATACTACGTACACGCTATGAGTATCCAAAATGAAATCGAGCCATTTCCCAGGTATTACAACACGTACAATGTACATCAGGCAAAACTAAGAGATATTAAATGTGCCTCGCCGGACGGTAGGATTACCCAGGCCCAGTGGGGTGCCTGTAGACGTGGGTTAGAGTTGTTGGGTTTCGGAACGAGTGAAAATGTTAGTGTTTGGTTCACCAAGGCCCGTATAAACTTGAATATCTCGATTCCCAATAAACACACACGCTTTGGCTACTCCAGCTTGTCACGGCACAATAAACAATATAACAAAAGGCAATGAAATAATTAAACCAATGCCAAAGAGGTTCAAGAGTGACTAAAAATGAACACAATGGACACAGACTTACCGACAATGAAACATAAACACATTCTCTACATCGTGTTTATTAACTTCCCCAAGCGAGACGCTGTGACTTGATCCCTTAACATCCCTAAAAACCACTCGAAAAACGTCCATTTCACGCATTTGTTGTTGAAATGGCATGTGGTCTTCCTCTTTTATATATGGGTCTTCCTTCCGAGATATTCTATCGGTCCCATCTTCGCTCTCTTTCCCTTTTCTGTATTCCCACCAGATTTCGGTTGGCAGCTTGTGTAACGAACATGATGTATGGGATGCTTCGTATCGACAATCATAAATTCACAGGATGTTGCTAAGGTTGGGGCATCTCAAATTTCTCTTAGACTGACGATGATGTGTTTGTTAATGATTTCTTCACCTTAATTGCCTTGGGCTTGGTTCCATTCCATTCTTTTTGGGCTCCTCGTCAGAGTCGCGGGTTCTCAAAGAGGGATCTGGTAAGGGGAGAAGCTCCTCGAAAGAGGGGACGGCTCTAACGCAGGGCCGTATTGAATGACCTGGTTGTGAATGTGGGTCAGCTCCTATTTGCAAAAGAATTAGGATTGGCGCACATGAGGCGATGACCAAGAAACGCCGGCGCGAGAGTAAAACATCAGGTCAAGCGCGCCTTGCGCGAAAGCCTAACATCGTTGGCTCAAAGGGCCAAACCAAGCGTCTCAGATCGGAGGGAAGTACAGGGCCTGCTTGAGAGGAAGCGTATAGATTTTGGAGCACCCAAACTTAGGGGTGTATCATGAGCAAGTCGTTGCGGCGGAGCTCAGGGTGACCATTGTTCCAGTGTCGCAGCAGGAGGTGGACATGATCTGAGCCTCAGTCGATGTGTATTATGGCTGCATTGAATGCAGTTGTCGACGGAATGGAAGACTGTCGTATGAAGACAGCTGCAAACTGCGTACCTTTCGAGGAAAGAAAAGAACACCTTGGTGGAACTCCGACCTTGAAAAGGTTCGTGGGCTATTTAATAAGGGCCATGCGGACTGGAGAGATCTTAAGATCGCTCAGCGCAGGTATAAAGACCATTATTCGAAGGTCTAAACGAGGATCATGGAAGACCAATTCTGTGGTAACATGGAGGGTCTTACTGATAGTTCAAAAGCTTCGTAAGATCCTTTTGAAAGACCCGGGGCAAAAAGTGGGTAGGACTTACATGCGGCAGATCTATACAACTACCGCGGGTGAGGCTCTCACATGTCTCCTGGAAACACTCTTTCCTGGGGACTACGTAAGTTCAGACCCACCAAAAGGATCTACTCGGGTCGGTGTAAGGCCGTTCTGCTGGCGGGGTGGTTACCGAGGGATCTTTGAGATGAGCGACCACCATGTTCAGCCCATTTAGGAGTTCCAGACCGGAGGATACTCCCGCCTTTTCTGCAGAGAGGCCTGGGGCTTGTAGGAGAGCCCACTTGAAGGTTCTGCGGCGAGGAGGCAGATGGAACTACCTAGCAGTGGTCTGTCACTGTGACACCTTGATCATAGACATACAGCTCCTTGTTTAAACAAGGTTCTATCTTTTATTGAGAGGAATGGACTCTGAACTTAGTTGCGAAAGAAGGGGGTAGGCGAAATGGGCCTTTGAGAGGTTCCACCCTGTATATACAACTTAGGACGATACATACATTTTTGAGAGTTGGCAACCGTGCAATTTCTAGGTGGGGAAAAGCTACCTGCGCTATCTAAAAAGCACAGAGGGGGCTTACGTTTGGCAGCTTGTCTGGAATGGCGGTCGTGAACGAGTCGCTCCATAAATGTTTGTTGTTATTTTGTGTTATTTAATGCAGGTAGTAATTTTTGCGTTTCTTTATATCGTATTTGCGTTTTGTATGCCGCATTTTATATTTTTTGCGTGTTTCAATCTTTGTTTTTGAAATTAACTTGGTTTAACCGCAATGCAGAATGACATGTTTAATACCGTTATCCTATTGTTTGTAATCGTTTACGTTTTTGGTGTAATGTTTGCTTAATTTTTGCTTATTGATGTTGATTCTTGGTCTTGTCCCTGAAGTTTCAATCATATAAGCTTTGATCATTTTATTTTAATATGTGAAAATTACCGATTAGTTTGATGTGTGTACTGACTTGTTTGTAACTAACAATTTTCTCCGTGAATGAAGCAGTCACGGGGGTGGTAAAAACTGTAGTCAAAATTGACTTACGACACCTAATTCCGCGATTGTCTTCGACATTCAACTGTAGGCTCGAAACCAGGGGCGGGTTACCTATCTTTCCGGAGCGGGAGTACGCTAATCAAAGCTCCTCAGTTTAGAATCTATGTGCGATAAGTGAGTTCCGATTCGTAATTTCCACATATCTTGTCTCTAGTTAAATTTGCCTACAAGGCCATATAAATTTCCATCTTGCTTTTAATGAAAGGACTTTATTGTCTGTATCATGTATCATTATTAAACAAACTTTTCACAATTTCAGTGTTTTATTTTACGTTCCTTCCTTACTGTGCTTCAGGTCAAAGCGTTGTTTACAACTAACGTAAGGGGGCCCTGCCTTAGATGTCTTATCACATGCCCCTTTTCAAATTTAAGCGGGATCTTGTTTAGTTTTGGAGTAAATAGTCATTCGGGTGGCCATTTTTAAACGCTGCCGAGTCGACTTTAGTGTGAAGTTAGCGTAGAACCTGGGGGTTTAGTACACTACAGCCTTTAGTGTACCTGCTGAAACGGGCTCCCCTACGAATAGAGTAAAATAGACTGATTAGCGACTTCAATTCTTTAAGTATGAATCTACCGAAGTTCCAAATTACTTAGTGGCTATCATTTTGAAATGCAACTTTAGTCTAAGAGTTACCGTATCAAGGACCTGAGATACATTCTGGACTAAATGATGGTCCGGATAACCAACAATGTATCTCATGTACTTGATGTAGGAGATTTGGGAATGATATTTTTCACAAATGGGAAAGGAGCGAAGTTGCTTTAAGATCTACTTGTGCTGGCCATTCTCACTCTGTAGGTGTCCGCGAATGTAGTCACCGCATAGTTATTAATTTTGCGTAGTAGTCTACTAGTCGTACATACTGCTCTGGGTACCTTTTATGGAAAATTTGCAAAGTATGGGATTAGAGGTTGGTCGAACAAGAAGACTGTAGCTAATTCTGGGAAAAACTGTATTAAAAAGTAAACTATACAAAAATTAAAAAAACAATTTCACTACATAACTTAACAGATATGCTATCATTGACTTATCTACATAAATAATATATAAAAATTATATACTAATGTTACAGAAAATTTTAATTACATCTGTCGAATGCTGATAGTGATACCACATTTGTGTAATATGGATAGTTGGTTGTAAAATAAAGTAATTTCATAACCGCATCTTGGAATGTTTGACTAGTATCTAGCCAATAGTAGTTTTTCTTTTAGTTTATTTATGTACAAATCGTTACATGTACATATTTGGTAACTTCAAGTATTGAACTTGTACATGACATATACACTTCAATTAACAATCTAAAAATCACAACACTAGTAAAAGTAAGATGGCAATGTTACATTAAATAGTGACATTTAAAAATACACAGAAGAAAACAAAGTTGCAAACTCATGAATAAGCTACATTATAAAAGAGGCATTATTTATTAACAAAGTTCATAATCCTTCTAACAAAAAAAAACCATCGAAAGTGTCCATTGTAAAGGACACAGTCGGTAATAAATAACAGTTCTAAAACGTTAACAAATCACATAATATAAATAATACCAAAATTACAAAAAATATCTCCAAATTGTTTTAAGTACACTGGAAAAAGGCCACATCATCAATTAAGGCATATTATCTGATTGAGAAAAATAGTTAAACTCTTCGAGATCTAGAATATTCAAGTAAAGCATTCTCTAATATACAACACACACGTCTATATTAAAGCTGGTAATTTTCATTTTTTAATTTGAAAGATTGGTTCGGGCACCGGTGACGTTCTCGCACGCTAACTTATGACGTGTCTCATTTTGTCGTCTTCGGTAGGTGTCGTTTCATGTGTAGGGCAAGATGGTCCGATCTGGCAAACGATCTTTCGCATACGGCGCATTTGAACGGTTTCGCTCCGGTGTGTTTTCGGTAGTGGCGCGTCAGTTCGTCCGATCTTGCGAATCTCCATTCGCATTCGGGCCATTGGCATTGGTATGGTTTTTCGCCTGGAATGAAAAAAAAAACGTAATCGGCTAATAACCACAGACTCTACAATTTATCTTCATTAAAGCCCTTTCGGGTTTCCCTCTGATCAAAAGAGCGCGATCGTGTTTTAGGTAAGAAAACTCGAGAGAAAAGTCCACTAGTAGAAGTGTGATTTGTCATCTTTCTCTTACATTGCATCGACTATAAGCTGAATTCGCTTGGTCTAAACATCTCACGACGAGCTTGATCCAAATTTAGTCATCTTCACTTCTTCAGATTCATTGAGGGGGGCAGCTGAATCGTTAGTTTCATTGTCTGACTCATTTTCCTGTGTGTACAGTTTCTCCTTTCATTTTCTGGCATTTAAAAAAATTCCTTGCGCTTCTACGATTTCTGTGAACCTCTTCCTTGAATTCTTGAATACTTCAGATTTTTCAAGAATGAGATTGCACCAAAAGTGATTTTTCAGTTTCTTCGAATTCTTCAAGTACCTCAGATCTCCATTAAAATTCTTCCGATTTTCCAGGATTTGTTCTTTTCAGATTCTTCAGACTCCTCGGACTCGTCAGACTCTTCAGACTCTTCAGATTCTTCGGATGATCCTTCGTATATCCCTTCGGACGATTCTTCTGACGAATCTTTAGACCGTTCAGATCTTGTGGGTCCTTCAGATTCTACAGATGATTCTTCAAATTGTTCGGATTACTCGGATTCTTCAGATTCTCCGGATTCTTCGGATCTTTAGGATTTTTCGGATTCTTCAGGTGCTTCGGATTCTACAGATGATTCCTCAAATTCCTTAGATTACACAGATTCTTCGGATCCTTCAGATTCTCCGTATCCCTCGGATTCTTCAGACTCTCCAGACTTCAGATACTTTGTCGGGCGACTCTTCGGATGGTTTTCCGGATGATTCTACGGATAATTCTTCAGACGATTGTTTAGATGATTCTTCAGCGTATCGTCAAAATGATTTTTTAGATATTGAGATTCTTCTGATTCTATAGACAATTCTCCGGACAATTCTCAAGACGATACCTTGGATGATTCTTCGGATAATCCTTCAGATTCTTCAAATTTTTTTCCGGGCGATTCTTCGGATGGATTTCCGGATTAGTCTCCGAATGATTGTACGGATAATATCGAATGATTCTTCAGACGATTGTTTAGATGATTCTTCAGCGTATCGTCAAGATGATTTTTCAGATATTCAGATTCTTCTGATTCTACAGACAATTCTCCGGACAATTCTCAAGACGATACCTTGGATGATTCTTCGATGATCCTTCAGATTCTTCAGTTTTCTTTCGGGTAATTCTTCGGATAGTTTTCCGGATGAGTCTCCGGATGATTCTATGGATAATTCATCGAATGATTCTTCACGCGATTGTTTAGATGATTCTTTAAATATTCAGATTCTTCTACTTCTACAGACGATCATTCAGATTCTACAGATGATTCTTGAGATTATTCCCCGGACGATTCTCCGGACGTTTATTCGGACGATTGGTCGAATTATTCTTCGGATGATTCTTCGGACGATTGTTCCGACGATTCTTGGGATGTCCCTTCGGACGGTTCTTCGGAGGATTCTTCGGACGATTTTTCGAACGATTCTTCGGGTGGTTCTCCCGCAGCATTTTTGCGGGATTAATCCCGCACATAAATGGAGCGGGATCCCGCGGGATTTGCGGGACTGAGGAATTTGTCAACCAAGGGGGCGACTCTGTTTGCTTTGTTAATGAAACGCATAACGGAGAAATTTTTAAACCAATTGTTAAACTTTTTTTGTTAAAAATGTACTATGATTTTTGAGACACTTTAGAAGTTAACCTTTTTGTGCTTTACAGGTGATTTTTTGACTTCTAAGTTAGGCTGAAGGTACTTTTTTGTTGAATAAATATTTAAAATTTTGCGGGATCCCGCAAATACCGGGATTCCGCGGGACTAACTTCTAACGATCCCGCAAATACCGGGATTGAGATTTTGCTGCGGGATTGCATTCCCTAGCGCTGTCAGAATATTTTTTTCCGGTCGATCTGAAACAATTTTTTTTTCGGGCCAAAAAAAAGGCAGTACCTTCCTTTTTTACCAAAAATCGACTGCACCAAAATTTTTCGGGAAAAAACTTTTTCTTATTAATTTTGGTGCGTAGAATCCAAAACGATTCGTACTTTTTCGATAAGACGCCTCAATCAAAAGTTATGGGCAAAAAACCAACTTCGGCAAAAAATTCAAAGGGCTGTAACTTTTGATCTAGTAGCCCGATCTTGGAACTGTTTGAAATTATGGATTCTACAAGCCACATTCTATCAGAAATTATTTTTTTCCGGTCGATCTGAGACAATTTTTTTTCGGGCCAATATAATCTTCCTTTTTTTTACCAAAAATCGACTGTACCAAAATTTCTCGGGAAAAAACTTTTTCTTATTAATTTTGGTGCATAGAATCCGAAACAATTCGTACTTTTTCGATAAGACGTCTCAATCAAAAGTTATGGGCAAAAAACCAATTTCGACAAAAAATTTCAGATTCATCTCATTTATCGTTCGATTTTCAAAATTCTCCTTTTCCAATATCCTTTAAATCATTTAAATTGGTAAGATTCTTTAAACTCATTGAATTTATCGGTTTATACTCCTCTAATGTTTTAGTTTCATAAGTTTCCTCAGATACTTCAAATTTTTTCGATTTTCGAATTTTTTGACATTCTTCAGATCCTTGAAATGTTTCATATTCACGATTTTTCACATTTTTTTAATTTTTCAGTGTCTGGGAATTCTTTCGATACCTATTCCATATTCTTCAAACCTTTGATTCAGTTGTACAAGTTTCTTCAGATTCCTAAATTTTTTGATTTTTCAAATTTTTTTGATTCCAAGGATCCTTTCAATTTTTGAGATCCAAACGATTTTTCAATTATTTCATTTTCGGAGAATTCTTTCGATAGTTCGAATTCTTCAAATCTTTAAAGTTCTATAAGATTCTTCACATTCTTAAACCTTTTTTGATTTCCAAGATTTTTTTGTTCTTCTGGCGCCTCAAATTTGTCAGCTCCAAAAGATTCTCCAAACTCTTTTTTGAATTTTTCAGTTTCTCCAATTCTGTTCAGATTCTTAACATGTTTCATATTCGTGATATTTCTGCAAATATTTCTTTTCGAGATTCAAGAAAAATCTCTTAATCCAACTAGAAGCAAGTGTGGATGGGCTGATTAATTTGCAGTGGAATTCTCGGAGAAAAATCTTCACATTGAAAAGATACGCATATGCTACTTTCACAAAAAATAATGGGGTTGGGGAGGGGGAGGGACTATTTTATTTTTGACTTCAAAAGTTTTCGAAACAATTTTAGGCACTTTTCCTAAGCATCCAAGTACTAAAGATTTTTGAAGCATTCCCAAAACCTGCACCCATTTTGGACATTTTCAAAAAATCGTTTCTCCTGTTACTAGTACCTGTATGTATCCTCTGGTGCGCCTTGAGGTGTGAACTCTTAGTGTAAACCTTGGTGCACCCTAAAACAAGACGTTTAGCCCTCACTTGTGCGGGAGGTTAACACCGTTACCTACCTATGAAATCACAGTGGTGTATCCGCCTCTTCTCCAGTTCGGGGTTATTTCGTCTGTTGTATTTGAGTGACGTGGTGAGGCGATGCGTACTGCCGGGCGTCGTGTTCGGCGTCTGCTGGCAGCCCGGGTTGGGGTAGGGCGGTGGAGGCGTGCGTCTCGGAAGCGTGCCGCCCGGCGATCCGGGCTCGGAGCTGGGCGGCGTGAGAGGCGAGGTGTACATGAGGCGCGACATCGGCGGGTAGAGGGCGTTCGCGGGCGCCGGGCCCGGCGTGCTGCCGCTGTTATATTTGTACTGCTGGGGGTGCGCGTTATTGTTAGGACAGTGGAGGGGCTGCTGCTGGTAGTGCTGCTGAGGCGGACTCGTGGGCTGCTGCTGGCTGAACGGCGACGCCGGTGTGCCCAGCAGTTGCAGCGTCGGCCCAGGCTGGAGGATCTGAACGGGAGGGGTTTAGAGAGATCGGGCGAAACTCCAGGCACTTACCTTTTCGGTTTTTATTTCTAATGGCGATAGTAGCGGCGTGGGGGCGCAGTTGACGGCAAGATCATCGACGGCTTCTAGTTTAACGTGACCCGCCCCCACCAACATGTTGGCATTTTCGGGATCTATATTTTGTATACTGCTAGCTATGTCCTCCCAGAGGGGCGGCCTGAGGAATACGTCGTCGTCGGTTCCCGGTAGAGACCTCATCGAAACGTAGCTCATATTAGGCTGGAGGCGGTTGTGGTTGGGCTCGAAGAATTCATCTAACTGCGAGGTCGAGTCCCGACGCGGCTTGTCCCAATCGTCTTCGAGCCTTCTTTCCCATTCTTGCTTGCAGAGAAAGGTATCCAGGTCGCTCGTCTGAAAGGCATAAATCAATAATTAGGTATGTACTTTTGTATGCATTGTCTTGTCATTTATCATAGTAGGTGAGAACAACACTAGCGAATATATCACGCTGGATATTTCATATTGAATAACATTTGGGCTCACAGCGGGATTATGTGACGAGTTCTGCCTTGTTCTAATTACCATACAATAAACCAGGAGGTGATACTTCACGCTGCGAAGTCTCGTGCTTAGACCTCCCCTTGATATAATGCGAAAGCTTCGTCAGCAGAAAGCCCGACACAAAGAAATCAATTTTTCTTCGAATTAATTTTGAAATATTTATGCAAGTGTCCTGCAGTTTTTGAATGATTATTCTTATGTAATGCTGACAAATCATGTAAACATGATTTCTAGTTATTAATTAGATTCTTTCGTTCATTACGTTGCGTGAGTGAAATTAATTTGTATTCTTTTGCAACTCGCATGTTCAACCTTTTTCGTTTCGAATACGTGGGTGCATAGATTCATTAGAAAAAGTACTTTGTTACTGGCCTTTGTTGATTTTACTATGAGCACACCTGGTATTATTTTAGACACGTACAGTAAAACATCATAAATTAAAAATTTAATTTGTACAATATCAAAATACAACAATTTGATAATTGGTTGTGTTTAGACGGTTGATCGTAACACGACGTTTTAAGTAAAATGCGAAAAGTAAAGAGAAGACTACTGCAAATCGCAGAAAAAGGACGCGGATGAAAAATTGATACGTTAAACAACAAGGGAAACTGCAGGAATAGGAGAGAGGCGGAAGGAAGGTGAAAGGACATCACAACAGGAGACGGGGGAAAGTAGAAAGCAAGCGTGAACCGAGGGAGCGTAAGAAAGGCATGAAGCGCACGCTTGAAGGGAGTGCGAAGAGGGCCAGAAGAGAGAAGAGAAGATGGCATTAAAGGGGTCTGTTAGAGAGTGTAAGAGAAGTGTAAGGGAGAGATGTGGAACGAATAGAAAAGCGAAAAACAGTGTAGGGGTGGGAAAAAAGAGAGTTGAACGAAACATGAAATCATAATAAATAAAATGGTGGGCAGGTAAGCGATGTGAATAAGACGCCAAAGAAACGCAAAGAGAAGTCTGAAGAAACAATGAAAGATGTTTGAATTAGGCGCGAGATGAAGAGCGGAAGAAATGCGATTAAGTATCAAAACGATATTAAAAAGTACGTAATAATCTGAAAAGAAACGGAAGAATTGGAAGAAAGTTAAAAATCATGTATTTGAAGAATCCGTGGAAAAGAAGAGGAAAAGTACAAAGAAATGGAAGAATTTCTCTGAAATTGAAAAGAGAAAAGCAAAGACGTTTGGGCCTCTAGGTGAAAAACCTACTTAAACAATCAAGACCTGCTTATAAAATAGAGCGAAAAGGGGTTGTGGGGGGGGGGGGGGGGTCCACCATGAAAAAATTCATTCTTAATGGAAGAGTTATTATTTGAGTATGCGAATAGTCTTATGGTGATATTGATGACTATAGGGAAAAGGTCATTGAATTTTCCTTTAACTGGGGACTATTCCATACCCTTAGACTCCCGGGAATACCCCCCCCCCCTCATCATAATGCAAAATATATATACAACCCAACCCCATTATTTTTTGTGAAAGTAGGATATGCGTATCGTTTCTGTGAAGATTTTTCTTCGAGAATTTCACTGCAAATTAATCAGCACCTCCACACTTGCTTCTAGTTGGACATTTTTCCTGAATCTCGAAAAGAGATATTTGCAGAAATATCATTGATATGAAACATATCAATGATCTGAAGATGAGAAGAATCTGAAAAATTCAATGAGTTTGGAGAATCTTTTAGATCTGAAAAATTTGAGGGATCGGAAGAACAAAAACAACATCTTGGAAATCATAAAATTTAAGAATTCTCTGAAAATATCACGAGAGTATTCGTCAGGACTTGTTGCGTAAAAACTTAGCACCGGGGGGTCTGGGGCATACGAGGTTCTCATTCGTAGACATTCGAATCATTTCATGGTGGTGATTACAGAGAAAGACTAAAGTAATTTTCGTTTACCCCCCGGTAGTACATTCACCCCAAAAATGTATAGCGATAGCACTTACATCAGAATTTTATAGAACACACTATAGAAGTTATTATTCTGAAATAATTTGAAGCATCTTACCAATTTAAATGATTTAAAGGATATTCCAAAATTTTTGAAAATCGAACAATAAATGAGATGAATCTGAAAATCTTATGGAATTAAGAGAATGCGAAAAGTCTGAAGAATTCTCAGAAACTGAAAAATTCAATTAATTTGAAACATATTTTGAATCTGAAAAATTTGAAGTCTAAAGATTAAGAAAAAATTCTAAAAACTAAAACTAAGAATGTGATAAATTTAAATCATTTGTAGAATCTGAAGACAATTATGTAAATTAAAAATATTAATGATTTGAAGGATCGAAAAAATTTCAAAAATCAAAAGAATTTGAAGAATTTTGTGGAACTTCTTAAAAAATATTAAAAATTTGAAGAATCGGAAAAATCGGAAGAACTCAACGAAGCAACGAAGGAAATATTTGAAAAATCTTTTTTTTAAAGAATTTCCTGAAAGAAAACAATATGAGGATACAAATTAAAAGAAGAGAAAGGATGAAAAGAATTTGGGAATTGCGATTGTGAAAAATTCGAAAATTGAAAGAGCTAAAGGAAAGCCAAGAAAAGAATCTTAAGAATCGGAAGAATTCGAAGCATCTCAAGAATCCAAAAGATACGGGGAATCAGAAGAATCTGAGTAATCCAAAGAATTTGAAGAATCATCTGTACAATCTAAAGGACTCGCAAGATATAAAGGGTCTGAAGACTCGTCAGAAGAATCGTCTGAAGGGTCATCCGAAGGATCATTCGAAGAATCTGAAGAATATTAACAGTCTGAAGAGTCTGAAGAGTCTGAAGAATCTGAGGAATCCGAATTATCCGAAGAATCCGAAGTATCTGAGGAATCCAAAGAATCCGAAAAACCCGAAGGATCTGAATGATCCGAAGAATCCGAAGAATTTGAAGAATCATCTGTAGAATCTGAACTATCCAAAGAATCGTACGAATAATCGTCCGAAGAATCATGGAAGAGTTATTATTTGAGTATGCGGATAGTCTTATAGTGATTGATGACTATAGGGAAACGGTCATTGAATTTTCCTTTAACTGGGGACTATTCCACACCCTTAGACCCCCGGAATATAATAGAAAGGGTTATTGTATTTTATTTTGACTCGGGAGGGAGGGGGGTATTCCATACTCCCCAGATCCTCCGGTGGCCCGTTCTATGGAAAAAATCATTCGTAATCAAAAACTGGAATGTAGAGTAATCAGGCAGACGGTATGGGAGGGAATGCAACACCGGAGGGGCTGCGAGTATAGAAAACTCCCCAATACCTCCCACCATTAGAGTCTCTTATTTATATGGGTATATACGAATAGTCTCATGATAGTAATGGTGACTGTAGACAAAGGGGTATTGAATTTTATTTTGACTGGGGAGGGAATACCGCCAGATCATCCGGTGGTCCGTTCGAGGGAAAAAATCATTCGTAATCAAAAACTGGAATGAAAGTGGTCAGGCAGACAGTTTTGAGGAATAATGCAACACCACGGGGCTTTGGGAGTATAAAATACCTCCCAACATACGAAGAGTATATTTGCATGGGTATGCGAATAGTTTCATTACAATAATGATGATTGTAGGGATGGGGTCATTGAATCCCCCCTCCCCCTCGGAGTATGCCCCCCCCTCCCCAGCATAAGACGAAGAATTTATTTATATGGGTATCTATACTAATAGTCTCATGATGATAATGGTGATTGTAGAGAAAGGGTTATTGAATTTTATTTTGACTGAGGGAGGGAAGGGGGGAGGTATTCCATACACCCGGATCCTCCGGTGGTCCGTTTCATTTTCAGTGCGTCCAAAATCAGAACTATACCGTCTCCTCAAATTCTCGTTTTGACCAGTTCTGATTGTCGTGTTCTGCACGTTATGCGCAAAATAAAAAGTGGCATGTGCAATGGCAAACTCAAAGAATTAATTAAGAAATTTTTAATTGGCGCCTGATGTCATTCCGGGTACGAAAGAATTAACATCTGCTTGCTTACTTCGGCGATAACATGTGCTTATCTTGAACCTAATTAGCCTACGCAGCGATTCTTATCGACCGGAGAAAACTATGCGATACACTTTTACAAATACTATGCAAACTCTAGCCTTTTAACACGTAATTTAAATTTATAATTAACAAAACGACTACTTAAACAAAATTAACAACATTAAATAACTAATTGGGGACACAAAACTTTAACCTTTAACAATATAATGAAAAGGTTGTGAAGAGATTTTCAAGCGATTTTTTTGGAGATATTTTGCAAAACTCAGAGAGATTAAGAAATTCTGAAAAGTGAGCGAGGGAGAGACAGAGAGAGTCTACAAATTTGATTTATTGCACAGTGCGCTGTCCATTGACGTCACACAACTTTGAGAAACTTAATTTTACCCAGCCGTTATTGTTAGCAATTCTAAAAGCATCGTTGTTTGACTCGCGATTTTCAATTTGGAAAGCACATCATCGGCTTGAAAATGTTCCTTTGCGTAAATTTTACCACTTGTAAATGAACGATCTTAAATAAATAAACAGTTTCTTTTTCACCTCAGACCTCAGTGGTCAGGTAGATGGTTTTAAGGGATAATGCAACACCGAAGTGAGGAGGGGGGGGGGGCGATCCGGGACATATGGGATACATCTTCTAATAAACATTAACCTGTAAAATCTATAACAGACAGTATGTACAAATTTGGCCCGCTAGAAAGTAACGTGTGGACGAAAAATGGTTTTTTATAAAAATTAAAGACTATACCGTGCCGGCAAAAAAAATGACGGCAGACCCATCGATGAGGCATTTTTTGATAGATTTGGGGTCTGAGTCCGAATAGTCAAGTTTCTGGGCCTCTAGAAGGCAATTTAAACACA